AAAAAAAAAAAAAGACTTTGGGTACGTTGCCAGAATTCTCCTTGCCTATTGTACTCCCCCTTCGGTTTCTGCTTTCCACTGAACAGTTTTATGTTTCCAAGGATCATAAATTCTCATTTTTCCACTGGGCAGGAGGTGCTCTCCTGGACTCCGCCGCTTCCTGCGTGGCCTTTGTCTCCGTGTTGCTCAGCTACAGCCGCGCAGGCCCGGGCTATGCCTGGCCGCATTCACACCGGCCGCGTCCCCGGGGGCCTGCGCCCCGCCGCCGGGCACGGGGAGTTCATAGGATTCAGACAGGCACATGCTTCCCAAAAGGAACAAAGGGGAGGCCATAACCCAGCGGTTTCCAGCCGGAGGCCGCGCAGGAGCGGCTGTGGGTGACCGAAGGTGTGATGATGTGATGCAGGAGGGGCTGTGGTGGCTCGGGGCTGGAGGGGGGGACCAGAGGCTGGACCACAGCCTGCGGTCCAAAGGGTATGGGAACTGCCACTGCTGGTTTGTCAGCTCCCCGGCAGCATGCAGCGCTCGGCAGAGCTGCCCTTGCTGGGAGAAGGACCAGGGAGTTTTTTCTGTAGCGTCGGTTCCAAGCGGCAGCGCTCCAAGCACCAGTAATTCAAACGGCAGCCGAGATAATGCCGTGTCCTCACGCTGCGCGGGTCAGTTTGGTTTGAAATTAATAACATTCCTGAACTTGAAATGCTTGGATCCGTCATGGCTCTAATTCCTGAGATGGAGCTCGTATGGCACCGGCGGTTGCTGGCTGTGGTGGGAGGGAAGGATGTGTCCCCCGCGCCAGGATGCGGCCGTGTCCCAGCCTGGGAGGGGGGACCGTGGGTCCTGCCGGGGTGACACTGCCCAGAGTGGGTCTGTCGGGGGGGCAGAGCCTGAATTTCCACCTCCTCATTGCTCCCTGTGTCCATCTGGTGGGGAGGGTTTGGGAAGGGGCTGGGGCTGTTGCTGTGGGGTTGTTTCTGGCCGCACCGGGCAGGACAGCGGGCGAAGGACTGGCCGGAGAATTCACAGCTGCAGGAAGAATCATCCATTTCCAAGCCTGTTACATCTTCCAAACAAAGTACTTGCCCAGCAGCGAGTGGGAGCAGTGATGTACTCCTGTTTCTAACCCCTGGAGAGCCTCTGCCTTGATTTCCCTCAACACAGCTCGGGCTGCCCAGCAGCACACACCACCAGAACCATGGCAAGGAGCATCCTCCAGCTCTGCCAGCTCGCTCGTGTCTGGCCCTTCTGCTCTTTGTTAATGAGGAAGATGCATTTTTTGGAAAGAGAGGCTGCCTCTAAGACTTGCAAACTCTCCAGTTTATGACAGTTTTCATTTGCATAATGAAGGCCCTGATACCTTCAGTAATTAATCACATTAAGAATTGCTTCCTTGAATAACTCTATTCATGCAAGTTGTTCTTAGTGCTGGAAACTGCATATGATTTCAAATGTGCATTAGCCCTTCTCTTTCATCAGCAGATGGAAGCTGGTAACTGCATGTGTAATTTATATCTGCTTGGGTGGAATTATCAGATGAAATATGCATTACACAGCGCCATTAACATTTCTAGTCATACAGTCTTTAGCTCTTGGGTAAGTTAATATTACATGCCAACAGTGTGTGGGACCGTATGAAAGGCAAGGACTCAAACATGGGAATTTAAAAGCCAAAATGGAAAGTATTCCAGGTCAAACACATCAGAAATAGAATTAATGAAGCTGCTAAATTAAATTAAATGCATTGCCCTTTTTTAACCTGCTTTTCTTTTAATATAAAATGTCCCATCTTGTCTCCATAGCTAAGAAAGCTGCCAGGCTTGCCCGCTGAATCGCCACGCATAAGGGTGACTCCAGATCCTTTAACATGGGGCAAGCTTTCCCCTGTAGGATGGCACGAGCAGCGAGAGAATAACGATTGAATCTCAAAGGAAGGCAGCAGAGAAGAGGAAGGCTGCTGTGTGGGCTTGGGTTTGTCGGTAGCCTTGACAAATTTGGAAAAAAAAAATAAAAAATCACATCAATTCAGTAGTAAGGAAAAAAAAAATAATCAGTGACTAGACTGCTCCCTGACGGCGGTGCCGGGGTAGCCAGGAGCCTCGTGCCCGCGCGTGCGTTGGTTTATGCATGAACATTTCTATAGGAGGTGAAGTCTGCTCTCTTGGAGTGCGGTTTTTCAGGTGCTTTTTTGTCCTCGTATAAATCACGGTTAATTAAAATACTGATTCCTGCTTGATAGGAAGCAATTAAATGAGTGAAGCTCTATCCCATCTGCCTCTGATAGAGATGGAGAGAGAATCCAACCCAGGCTGCTGTGGCTTTGCCCGTTCCTACTCTCGGGGGCTGGCGTTACTGCCCCCCAAGCTGAGCTGCCACTCGGTGCCCAGCCATCCTGGAGCTCCTGCTGCTGGAGGGTTTTCACCCTTTAGAAAGGATTTGGGAGCCCACTGGGTTTTTTACTGTTTTCAGGCTGAGCTAATTCTGCCCGTGGCTGGGAGCTGTGGGGAGTGTGCCCTGGCCATCCTCAGCTGCTGTGATGGGGATGTGGCAGCAAAGCGTGAGCAGGACCATCAGCCTCCTTCCTCACTGAGGATGCCGTGGCAAAGGGATGCATCCTGAGGGTGCTGCCTGCAGATTGCAGGGGTCAAAACTGCTTCAGATACCATGTGTGGGGCAGGGGAGCAGCTCTGAGCTCTGCTCCCACCTGCCCCATGTGTCTCTCCAGCCCCTCTGGTCCCGGCTGCAGCGGCACGGCGCGGTGGCTTGGCACTAGCCCACGGCAGGGGTGAGCAGAGGGTGCCGGGTGTATGACATGGGCTGTACAGCTCTGCTTGGAACTCAGGGCCCCTACCTGTCCCGAAGCCAGGCCGGGGCAATGCGGTGCAGCAGCTGGCTGGGGTCCCCTGGGCTTACAGAGCTTTGCCATCCCTCCTGGCAGCTCCCGGAGATGCGTTGCCGCTGCTCCCGATTGTTCCTTTCTGTCCAAGAGAGAAAGAAAAAAGCATCTCTGCAAAATCCAGACTTGGACTTTGCTTAAAGCCTTTGAGTAAAGAGCCTTGTTTGAATGTAATTGCACCCCTGTTGCTACAAGGGGAAAATACACTGTATTGCTCTCTTTTTCTTGGAAAGCTCAGCTAGTATTTTCCCAGCCATTTGTGTATAAAGAAAGATAAATAGCTCTTTAGCGGGCAGAACAATCTATCCCAGTTTTATTGACATTCATGCAAGCAGACAAGGAGAAACAGTTTGGCGATGCTGAGCGTGGAGGGAGGGGGGAAACTCCAGCCCAGCAGAGCTGGGAGCACCCGACGAGGCTGGGCTGGGGGTGCCGGGCACGGGGGGGCTGCTGGGGCACAGGGTGGGAGATGCCCTCTTGGTTCTCCTCGTCCCCACAGAGGTGTCCCCCCCCCGGCCCGTGGCAGCCTGCAGGATGCACTCCCCACCTCACCCAGCACTTCACTCCTCCCTATAAATAAAAAAACACGTCTAGCAAATTTAGCTCTGGCTTCACACGCAACGGTGCTATAGATAGATTTTTTAAAGAGCTTGTCTCAGAGTAATAATTCATGGGGAGATCAAAAGGCTATGGTTTAATCCGGGGTCTGTCTGATACCATAAACCTTGCAGACTGCTAAGAATTCAATGAGCAGTATCAAAAGCCTGATAAACATGAAAGCCACCCAATTTTCTGCCTGTAAGGCTGGCGTGGCTTACAATGGGTGCTGAGGAGCTGGGCAGATGCGTATCTTCTCTGCGGTGCTTGGGTGCCACACGCAGAGCCCTTCAACTTCAGGCTCCTGAAAGAGGTGCCTGGACTCCCTTAACATCTCAATTGCTACCTGCAGCTCCGCTGACTGTCTGAGGAGATAAGACTCCTAATTAGATGTCTAATTACACGGCGTTGGTAGGCTTCAGGCTGCACTCCACCGCTTGGCATCGCCTCGTCCTCCTGAGTCTCCGGATCACACCGGCTGCCTGGATTCTCCAGAGGGATGCACAGAGGCATCCCAGGAGGAGACAGCGATGGAGCGGGGGCACCTCCTGTCCCCACGAGCCCCAGCACTCCCCGGGAAGGCTCGGTGCCTCCATGCTCACCAGCGAGGTGGCTGTCTGCCCTCCAAAGAAATCCCAAGGATTTCTTTTTTAATACATCCACGGTGGCTGCACCGACAGCAAGGGATGTGCTGGTTTAGATAAATTGAGGCTCTGGCCCAGGAGAGGTGGATTTCAGACAGGGGCTGTGAAAAACATGGGGTATCAGAATGCTGTATTTGGAGGCCAAAAATAGAGCCTAAAACAGGGCCAGTGAGGATCAGCGCTGTAAATACAGGTCTGCGGAGTGGAAAGGCTCTGCCAGGCTTCTAGCTGTCAGCAAAAGCAACATTTAAAAGCCAGCAGTTTAATTTTTAACACAAATGGAGGCGAGTTTAGACTGCAGACACCTGCAGGTGAGGAGCTGGGTTTTTCTCCAGAGATACCGAGCCCACTGAGGTTAATGTGATTATGTAAATGACTGAGGTATAATTGCGTTATTGCCACCCATCTGGTCCTCCCTGCAATTCATAAGTGATTTTATATTCCCCGTGCGCTGCAGTGCTGACACGCAAGGGCACCAGAGATGCCATAAATCACTGCTTGGTGTTTGCTGCAAGAGCCCTCTCCCCATCAAGCCTCTGGTGCAGAGTCCCGTTGGACTAGGCATGGCCAACACATCAGGAAAACTTCATCCCAGATCCGCATTAACGATCCCTGGATGCAGTCCAGAGGATCGAGCTCCACTTGTCCTCTCCCAAGAGATGCTCCTGACAAAGCCAGGATCCTGCCCAGCATCCCAGCTACAGCAGCAGGTCCTTCCCAACATGGATCTTCTTAGCAGGATAAAACAAGCTCCCACTGCCCTCAGCAGCTGGGATTTAAACACAAAACTGACATTTTCATGTAAAACACTGGCCCCAGTAACCCCCCAATTCTACCTCTCTTCTAACCTGGGTTTTTCTTCCCATCAGTATGAATTCAAAGCCAAGAACATTAAGAAGAAGAAGGTGAGCATCATCGTGTCTGTGGACGGGGTGAAGGTGATCCTGCGCAAGAAACAGAAGGTGAGACTTCTCCGGGACAGTCACGCTTCTCACTGAGACTGACCTTTTCTTAAAAAACACACGGAATTTTCACAAGACTTGATTTGTCACTTTTTTGTCGAACAAACTAATATCAAAGCCTTGCTGAAAAGAAGTGGGAAAATTACACTGTGAGAGGAGGAATTATTTTTTTTCCCTATCAAAAAAAGCCAAGCTTTCAGGAAATATAGATTTTTTTTCTTGTTAATACCAGTAGGCCAGGGTGAGCACCCCTCAGCTCCTTGCCCAGGCTGTGCTTCCCACTGAGCCAGCAGCTGGATCCAGATCTCCTGAGCCCCAGCTCAGCATCTTATTCCCCAAAACATGTTACTCTTCTGCATATTTGATGTTATGAATTAATCTTAGGGACAATTTTCAGCCCTGGAGGCTGCGATCAGATGACCAGATATGATAAATGATGAAAGAAATCTATTTTTATCCAAGATACTGATGAAACAGAAATTGCTCATAAAGTGGAACTGCAGCCTGGATTTGACTTGACTCACTATAATTTTGTTTCTGTCCCCTCACAGAGAAAGGAGTGGACCTGGGACGAGAGTAAGATGGTGGTGATGCACGATCCTGTGTACAGGTATGTGGCAGGGGATCCACACCAGGTCCAGCCCTGAGCGACGCATATCCATCCTCCCCCTTCCTGAGTTACCTCTACCACAGCTGGTTTTCCAAAGGACCATGAAAAATTAACAAGGTTGCAAAATTACCACTGGAGGGGAATCCTTTTCATACATTTTTGAGAGTGAGACGGCCTGATCTAGCTTTGAAGCTGGCTCTGCTTTGAACAGGGGTTAGACTAGATGACCCCCAGAGATGCCTTCAGCCTGGATTACTCTCTGATCCTGGCTCTGAAGACAGGCTTCCCACGGTTTCCCTTCAGAGCGTGGCTCACCGTGTGCTTCTGAAGAAGGGCCTCACTCTCAGGTGTAAGAGCTTACAGGGAATTAACCCGTACAGGCTGTGGTAGGGCAGCACTGGCTTTCCATTGCCCCTGCTGTGGGGTCTCAAAGTATTTTGGGTGCCCCAGGAGCAATCAGGACGGCTTCCTTGAAGGCAGCCCCAGCGATGGTATGTAGCCTGTGGACACAGTTAAGAGCCCAGGTTGCACCAGGCTGTTAGATCTGCCAAGTGAATAATTTTAGCACCAGCACCTCCTGGCAGGACAGTGGCTGAACAGGCAGCTGTGCCACGCTGCAGCAGGGCAGGGATTCATTCCTGGGGCTAAAAATAGCTCCTGCACACTTTCCAATACTATAGATTTTTTAGCTTTCCCACCGCATCTTTAAAAAGCTTTTCCTTACTTCAGAAAGCAGAAGGTTTTCCGTCAAACCAGAAGTAGTCTTTAAATCCACCACCTCCTGCCTTGACAATCGCAGGAGGGGCCGTGCACCAGCACCACCTCATCTCCACCCCTGGGTGCTGTGACCCAGCCAGTCCTGGGGACACACAGGAGCCTCTGAGGTTGTCTGGGGGGCAGAGCCCCTCCTGGGTGTTTCATTCCCGTTGTCTCTCTCCCACCTAGAATCTTCTATGTGTCTCATGACTCGCAAGACCTGAAAATATTTAGTTACATCGCAAGGGACGGTGCTAACAACTCCTTCAGGTGCAACGTCTTCAAATCGAAGAAGAAGGTAGGATGCTGCGGGGGCTACAGCCAGGTCACCCCTGGGTGAGAGGTCTCTGAGGGACCTCGTACCTTCCCGAGCCCAAGTAACTGCTGGGTGGGAGGGTGGAGATCCCTGGGGAGAGACACAGGCAGTGACAGTGCTGGATGTCCCCAAAAAACCATGCCTGGTGCCTGTCCCCTCCTGCCCAGCCTGTCTGCCCCAGGAGAGCACCCATCTCCTGTGGGAAATGGGGATGCCATGCATTGGGACGGACCAACGATGGAGCCCCCCGGCACGGGAGGAGACAGGGCAGCGTGGGGCAGCCCCGGGGTGGGAAACTGGGAAGAAGCTCCCAGTTCTGCCCCGGGCAGGGCTGAGCCGGGTGGGTTTTGTCGGCAGAGCCAGGCGATGCGGGTGGTGCGGACGGTGGGACAGGCCTTCGAGGTGTGCCACAAGCTGAGCCTGCAGCACGCCCTGCAGAACGCCGACGGGCAGGCCGACGGAGCCAGCGACAAGTCGGCCGAGGAGCAGCCGCTGGAAGGTGACACGTGGGTCCCCGTGGGACAGGAGGAAACCCCTCTCAGCCACCACAACAGGGATGCTTTGGGGTGGGGGAACCACAAGGGGATGTTTTGGGGTGGGGGAACCACAAGGTGGCATGTCCTTTGTGGACCACCTCCATCTCCCTCAGTTACCCTGTGGATGGGGGGACACAGGGAATCTGCCCTCTCTGCCCACCCACCCTGGAACCAGGAAGGCGGAGGCTGAGCCCCCTTGTCCAGCAGGCTGAGGGTCTCCAGCCCCTTCCTCCTGCCCCTCCACAGCACACCGAGACTTGAAGCAAGTCCTGGCCTTGTCCCTAAGCTGCCACCTTGGCTGCCAGCCCTGCTCAGGGCCCCAGCTCCTTGCTGTGATCCTGCAGCAGGGGGGAGCTTGGGTTTATTTATCCATCTCGTTTGAAGTTCACCAGATAAAGGGCTCCAAGATGACGGATGCAGAAGAGGTTGGCATCGATTCTGACGGCATCTGTGTGTCCGAGAGGGGACCTGGGGAGCTGCCCACTGCCAGGGGGGACCTCAGTGTCCTGAAACCTGGGCAAGCTTCAAAGGATAAGAACTGCCAGGTAATAGGGGGGGACCATGAGGACGCTCTGCCACTGCTGGGGTCCCTCTGCTCAGGGTCACTGTACCATGGCTTGTGACTGTCCCAGCACTAGGGCAGGGGGAGAGGTGAGAGCTGGGAGTGGGGTCACGGCGCACGGCTGAGCTGGCTTCAAACGCAGTCCAGGAGAGCAGGGCAGAGGACAGAGGGGCTTCTGCTGGAGCGACCACCCAGCACTGGAAGGAGAAGTGAGTCAGGACCCACCCTCCCGCAGCAGCATCCACTGAACAGGCGAAAACTAAGAGGAGGCACCTTTGGCAAGGCAACCATTTTCCTGCCATGCAGGGAGGATTTCTGTGCATCCGACTGCCCCGAGAGCGACCCACCAGCTCCCCTCGCCCCCCATGCCCAGGGGACAGTGTCCCCGAGGGGAGCCAGCCCCGGCAGCACAGGGACGAGGGCCGTGCTGGGCGCGAGCAGTGGTTTGGCTGCAATGAATGGCTGTTCTCTGCAGAGCCCCTCTGTGCGCGCTTCCCGGCGGCCTGAATGGCCTCGCTTCATCTCCCCCCATCGTATCGCTTTGCAGGGCCTGGCTGGAAACATCTGCCGTGAAAGGCACTCAATGGGGCGCGTTTCCGTGGCCGGGAAGGCAGGGTTTCCCCACACGTTCCTTTGGGAGCCAGAGCTGCCCAAGGGAGGGCAGGGGCCGAAGGGCAGCAGCCCCAGGCTGGCTCCCAGTGGGGCAACGCTGGAGGGAACCCTCCCAAAACACCCCCAGTGTCGGAGGCTGCTGCCAGGGGGATGTGCTGCCCGGCTCAGGGCTGCATGCTGAGACCCCCTGTGCTACGGATGGTGAGGAGAGCCACCCACGGGGCCACCACACAGTCCCCGGGGATCACACAGACCTGCAGAGCCTGGCACTGAACCCAGGGTTGCCCCTCTCAACAGTCCCGGGGTGCCAGGGGCCACTCTGCAATGCCATGCAGCCAGTGCCACTGGGAACCACCACCCAAATCCCAGCCCGAGCTGGTGGTTCCACTCACCCTGCCCGTTTCTTTATGCCCAGGACACCGAGAACTGCTCCCTCCACCCGGCCGGCTCCCAGCAGCTTCTCAGCCCAAGCAGCCCCTGCTCCTCGGCCTCCATCACCCCGCTGGCCTCCCAGCACTGCCTCCAGCTGCTCCAGCAGCAGCTCCTCCAGCAGCAGCAGCAGACGCAGGTGGCTGTGGCCCAGGTACTCGTCCTGCCCTCCCCTCGGGGGCCACCAGCCCTTCTCCTCATCCTGCTCCAGCCTCTGGCCAGGCTGGGCTGGCAGTGGGGGGGCAAGTGCCCTGTGCTGGGGGGTGGGTGCAGTGCGGGAAGCTCACAGCATCACTCACAGCATCATCACAGCATCGCTCACAGCATCGCTTGCTGCACGGCTCAGCTCCCCCAGACATGGGGCTGGCTGCACACATAACCCCAGACAGCTCTAGCCAGGTCACAGGGGGGGCCCCCACAGAGCCACCGGCTCCCTTTTCATCCCCTTTTTGGAAGCCACCCCCCCGTGCCTCTTCCCCCAAACCGGAATTGATCCCTTTCCACGCATATGCCCAGTTTCAGAACATCCTTGATCCGGAACACACTCCTCTGATCTGATTTTTATCCACAGCGGGGGGGGGCGGTGCCCCCCCGGCTGAGCAACTCCCCGATTCTTTTCATGTTACCGGGGCGGCACCGGAGCCCCCCAGCCCCTGATCTCCCCCGGCCCGGGATGCAGCCGCATCCCCCGCCCGCAGCTGGACCAGTTCAGTGGGGGGGTACCGGTGGAGGGGGGGTACCGGTGGGGTGGGAGCCGCGGCGGGGCCGCCAGAGGGCGCTCGAGGGCCGCCGCCGCCGCCGCTGATCCCGGGGATGCGCGGTCCCGTCCCCGCATCGCCCCGTCCCGTCCCCGCATCGCCCCCGCAGGTGCAGCTGCTGAAGGACCAACTGGCGGCCGAGACGGCGGCGCGGATCGAAGCGCAGGCCCGGGTGCGGCAGCTGCTCCTGACCAACCGAGACCTGCTGCAGCACGTCTCGCTGCTGGTGCGGCAGCTGACGGTGCTGGAAGCCCGGGAGCAACACCGGCAGCCGGGTGAGCGCAGCGGCCCCCGCACCGGGGTGGTTTCGGTGCTGGGGTACCCCCAGCATCACCCCCTCAGAGCATCTCGGCGCCCCTCACAGTCATGGGGACCAGCTGGAATGCTCCCAGCACCATCCCCTCAGAGCATCCCCGCACATCTCTGAGCAGTTGGGGTGTTCCCAGTACAAGCCTGGCAGGGTCTGGGGGGCTTCAGAGCATCTCCGCACCCCTCACAGTCCTGGGCAGCAGCTGGGACACTCCCAGCACCATCCTGACAAGTTCTTGGGGGCTTTGGAGCATCTCTACATTCCTTGAGGTCCCAGGGAGCAGTTGGGATGCTCCCAGCACCATTCCAGCAGGTGCTGGGGGGGGGGGGGGGGG